ATAGACTTCATAAAAATCAATACATCCACTATTTTAAAAGATAGCATCCCCCCTCTCTCTCTCTTACACACAAACACACACACACACACACACACACACACACACACACAGTTCTAGACCAGGATGGGAAAGGGTACTTACAAAACGTTTACTGGGAAATGGACTTGTATGCTATATATGTAGACTCTTTTGACTCAGGGAATATTTGAGCAGGCGCATGACAACAGAAATACAGATGGCAAATACACACATAGAAATATGCTTGCCATAGCTGGTCAACAGAAAGAGGAAGCAGATTTCAGGAGATCCTATTACACATCCACTGAATAGTCACACTCACACACAACACAACGCAGCTCTAGGGAGGATGAAGCAAGTGCAACTACTCATGCATTGCTACTTGGATCACTATCCCTTGTCCTTCTTTTTCCGTGTGTGTGTGTGTGTGTGTGTGTGTGTGTGTGTGTGTTGTGTATCTTTGTGCTGTGTGTGTGGCGTGTCTGTGTCTCTGTGTATGTCTGTGTCTATGTGTGTGTGTGTTGTGTGCTCTGTGTGTGTCTCTCTGTGTGTGTTTGTGTGCTGTGTGTGTGTATTTGTGTGTGTGTGTGTGCACATGTATGTGGAGGTCAGAGGTCAACACAGAGCAACTTCCTCAATCACTTTCCACCTTAGTTTTTGACAGTCTCTCAGTCCACCTGAAGCTCACCTCAGACAGCCAGAATGGCTAGCTAGAAAGCCTCCAGGATTCACCTGTCTCCACCTCCCCAGCCCTGGGATTCCTGATGCCACCTGCAGCTTGTTCTATGGATGCCAGGGGTCTAAGGTCCTCAGGCTTGCACAGCATGCACTTTACTGACCGAGCCATCTCCCCAGCCCCACTGCTTTTTCTTGAAAGTACTTTCATGACTTTGAAATTTCCTCATATATGTAAATCCTTATACCTAATGTCCATCTCCCTCAATGTAAGCTTACAATGCTGGTGACGTGGTCATTCTTGACACCACTGTGTCACCCAGTACCAAGAGTGTCTAGTACAAAGGGGACAGTTGGTACACATTTACTAAAAGGCAAGAAGGGAGAGGAAAAAAGGGGAAAAAAAGAGTGAATACATGGAGACAGGGAACCTAGTTGAAACAATCACTTGCAGGACAATAAGCCAGTTTAAATAGAAATTAAACCATTACTAAAGTGCACTATAGACTGGTGAATGGTTCAGTGCGTGAAGATGCATGCCCATATTAAACCTGAGTTTAATATGCAGGACCCAGGTAAAGGTGGAAGGAAACAACTGATTCCACAACGCTGTCCTCTGGAATCCACACAGGTGCCATGGCTTGTGCACACATACCCCATAATAATAATAAATAAAAGCTTTCTTAGAGGTGCATAGTGTACATCCTGATTACCAGTCTCATGTACATACTAGAATTAGCTGGGGAGCCTTGTGAAATCCCAGTGCCTGTTCACCCCAGAATACCAAAATCAGCATCTATGTGAATGAGACCCCAGTGCTGGTTGTCTTTAAAGTTCCCTCAGGTTAGCCCAGGATGAGCTCCAACTTGAAAAACACTGAAGAAATTAATCTAGGCTTTGTAACAACTGTCTACATCTAGATGTAAAATATATATTCAAGTTAACTTAGCCCTCTCTCAGCCTCAGAACTGTCATCTAAATTATGGAAGGCATGTACAACCTCCAAGGTTGCTGTAAGATTGAGATTATACATAAAGCTCCTGAAAAAGTGTGAATTATCTTCCCAGGGTGAGCCTGATAAACCTCCATTACTAAGTGAGAAATGCTACTTCAACCATCAATGCCCATTTTCAGTCATTTGATTGTTAGACTGAATATTTTACTGAGGAGTTCAGAAATGCTGTTTTTCACTTTCCTAATAATATACCACCTGAAGCTATGCCTATTTTTAAATTTATTCTGTAGGAGGAAATATGGATGACAATGGTAGCACAGGAAAATCACCAGGGGACATTTTAAAAGTACCAATGTCCGGACCCTATCTGAACCAAATAAATCCGAATCCCTGGGGGTGGCACCAGAACACTGATAGCTTTTAAAGGGTGATTATGCAACAGAGTCAGAGCTGCAAAGCTCTGGTTTGTGCACTAATGAGATCCCATACGAACTGCACAGAGGGATTCTTTAAAAACTAATGGGTTCCAGAACCTTAGTATGACTTACTGATTCTTCATCTGTAGAAATGGAGCACATCATTCTGCAAATTTCCATACAGCTCTCACAACAGACTTATTGGGTCACTACCTTGCAGCATGCTTTTACTCTCCCTGTCACTGTGTATCAGCAAAGACCATTTGCAATTTCCACTGCCTAGCCTATCCAGTTGTTTCCAATCAGTAACAAATGCACCCAATAATAGTAACTCTCTAGTCTTATAGATTTTTTTTTCCAGGTCTCTTGTGTGGACCCAAATAGCCTACATCATTTACCATGCACTGTACCCAGCACTGGCCATGGAGATCACTGCTCTTTCTAACCAAGTATCTGACCTGCCAGTTTGGAACCAAAAAATTGGATTCACTCTTCAAGCCCTTTGCAGCAGGCAATGCCCACACTAAAGAATTATACCCCGTTGATGACCTGCATAAATACAGATGAAATGTTATTTTTTGCATCTATGAAACTCATATCCATTTATTTTTCCCATACAGGCAATATAACCAGGGGAAAAAAGTAAGTAAGCTCCAATGGAGAAGAAATAATACAGTACCTAGACTCTACCTAATCACAATGGCTAGATGATTATAATGGAACTAATCAACCAGTAAAAATACCTCTCTGTTCTCATCACATTAACTCCTTTGAACCTTACAATAACCTCATCAGGTAACTACATCATGAATAAGAAAAAAGAAATACATTAGTTAAATGATTTGCCCAAAGTCATATTACAAGGCAGTGTAGAATACAATTGACCTGGCTTTGATGTCAAATATTTTTACTTATTTCACTGAAGTTGTACAGAGTTATGAGCAAGCAGCTGGAAGAAAAGATACAGCTAAAGTCTACAACAAATCTGGGAACAAGCTCACTCCATATCAGCCATTGTTATATTTGTATTTTAATACAGCCCAAGTGGTCAGAGAGGGATAATAGCCTATTAAACTGACTTTTCCCTTGGTGATATTAAAGCTGCAGATATTGTAACTGTGGGTAAATTAAACCCAATATGAAGTATAGCAATAAAAAGATTTTTCTCACAAAAACTTAATAACTGTCACTGTGACAACCCACCCAGGGTAATGGTTCCAAAACACAAGCAGCTGGAGCTACCAAGCTAGATGATCATAACCACATCAGGGCCAGATGTCTAAGGCAGCAGCAAACTTCAGCGCAATCACATCTCACTGAAGAATGTGCCAAAGAAGTTCCTGTCCCGTGGTAAATGTCACCCCTCTTAGACACATTTGTAGAAACAGAAAAAGGAAACAAAATAAGCACTCAAACAGAGGTTATATTATAATGTGCCTGGCAATGAATTAGATGCTTTCATGAAGCTAATTGCTTTGATCTTTGTAAACCTTCCCAATGTTGAATACATGAACAGAAAAATCATAAAGTCATACCGACTGGCCTCATAAATTCATGACTACAAATAGGTCTTTAACACAGCAGCAATTCAATTCCATCTCCTCAGTTTCCTTTCCCACTCTCCAGACCTTTCCTCCCCCACACTGCCCTGACTGCTGACTGACAGATCTTCCTCCACTACCAACGTGATGGTCCCGTGTAGTCTGCTTCCCTTCTAGCTGGTTTTAAAATACAGAACAGTCTAACTCTCCTCTTGTGTTTTCAACGACTCCCTTCAGGCAAAGTTCCTCTCTTTCACCTGTATCATTTCTCACTTCCTATGAGATCAATTACATTAGCATATGGACAAATTCTAGTTTCTCCTATTTAAAAACCAATTTGACCAGAAGGCCCCTCTTTTGTATACACTAAAGCTGTATTTATTAAAAATGATTAAAAATATTTATACTTAACAAAACCATTTGGGGGTGAATTTTGTTTCCATTTGCCTTGGTTTTTAATCTGGGATGTTTTGTTGTAGGCTAGTCCAGGCTAGCCTGAAACAATCCTGTCTAAGCCTCCCTCACAAACATCTTACACAGTAGCATTCAATGTAAGTGACCACCGGTTTCCTCCCTCCCCCCCCCTATTTATTTGATGGCCCCCTCTTCTTTATGGAACTCACAGTTTCACTGAGTTCCTTAAATGCCATATATAAGGTAATGACTGAAAAGGGTAACTCTAGCCCTAATAGCCTCCAGACCTTTAGAACCAATTTTATACTGGCCTGTTCGACTTCAAATTAAATTTTATCTCAATTTTAAAATCCACTAGGCGATTTATACTGTGTTTTGTCACAACAAAAATCTACTTGGTGACCTATAGAGGAGCGGAAACGAATAAATATAAGAAAAACGACATGTCGGGTGCAGGGTCCATTGTACAGTTCTTCCCGAGCATATTATCTGTACGCTGTACAAACAGGTTTCTGAACCCCAGCATCAGAAACAACTTCCACAATGAAAACCTACTGCTCTCACCCTGCTTTTCCTGGAGTTAGAGTCAACCGTGCCTGGGTACCTCCCACTTGGAATATGAGGCAGGGAACCTTATTTCTCCCTCTAACGCCTAGCTTCTAGAACAGTGCCAGGTACACAGGAGACTTTCCAAACAGTTGCTGGTTAACTGGTGTTCTCTAGACACCTCGACCTGCACTAGTTTGGAGGCACCCTAGGCCTCCAAACCTTCCTGGTCATCAAAGCCGGGTCTTAGAGGCCCTGAGCGGCTTATTACCAATTCTATCAGAAACGGGCTTCTCAGCAGCATCCCCAAACCTTCCTCCACCGCACATCCAGTGTCGGCAGGTCCACACCTATCACCCCGACATGACACCCCTCACCCCGCCGCTAGACCGAGGCCTGCCCTCCCACCCCCATGGTCAGGCTCACTCCACAGACCATGGGGCCCTCGGGGTCCAGCCTGTGCTCGAGGCCTCTGCGCATCCATAGCTCCTTCTCTTCCCTGAGAGGCAGGAGAAGAATGCCCCCTTATGCCTGAGCACCACCTGGTCACCTCTCCTCACCTGGGCCTATCGGCCCACGGCCCCAACCGCCTACCAGAAGGTTCGCGCCAGAGCCTCCATGTGTCCAATCCGGGAGACTCCCACGAGCCTGCGCACTGCAGTTTTATTCTGGGCCAGTGTAAACCTGGTTGGAGCGGAGAGTTCTTCCCCTTGCTGGTCTTTCGAGGTACTGCAGCGCCCACTGCGACTCCCAGAAGTTAAGTTCCCTAGTGTTGCAGGTAACATGTGTTTTATTTCCTTCAGGCTAGGCTCTCAAAGCCAATTGTTGTATGAAACATCCCCACCTTCTTTCTGAGTGGAGAGTCTCTTCATATTTAAGATTAAATGAAGGAAGACAAACTAGTGCAAAAAGGAGTCCCTAGTGTGTGCCAGAATAGAAAGTTAATTGACTACATCAGTTGAGACAGTTTCAGCTAGAGTGGTCATATTAGAGGAACTTCAGGGGTAAACACCGCCTGAAAATGTGACGTCAGATCCATACATCTGGACTAGTATATCCGTCCATTTGATCCAGTTCCCTTGAAAATATGACAAGGTAGGTGTGTGTGTGTGTGTGTGTGTGTGTGTGTGTGTGTGTGTGTTTGGTCCAGTTCCCTTGAAAATATGACAAGGTAGGTGTGTGTGTGTGTGTGTGTGTGTGAGAGAGAGAGAGAGAGAGAGAGAGAGAGAGAGAGAGAGAGAGAGAGAGAGACTTATCCCCAGCTTTTCATGTTTGTCAAAGAAGAAAGTTCCATGTTTGAGCTGATGTGTGGCTCAATAACAAGAGCTATGCTTTGTCCTGGTGCAGAGCAGTGAGTTTCCTGTTCCAGGATCCAGGGCTTGGAGATAGTCTCTCTTCATTGACCTATCTAAACCCGGCTTTCACCAGCTGTCATTAGTATGAAGCATCTTGCAGGCTTGACCATAAGCAAAGTCATCACTTTGCTTCCAGAGAAGAGCTCACCCCAAGAAACGTACCAACAGAATTTTGTGGGTCTTTGTTGAGACAAGAGAAGCATCAGCCCCAGTGCCCAGCCAGAGTTCTTGTGTGCTCACATCCCTGTCTTCATTTTCTGAGTCTCTCTAAACAACAGACCCTCTGCTCTCTCCCCTTGGTCCTTCTGAAAGCGGGGTTGGATCTTGTCATGAACCAGACAGTGACCCCAAAATAGAGGCCAAAAACCTGATTACTAAGGTCCCTCTTTACATTGATCCGGAACTTAACCTCAGGGCTTTCCACCACATCCCCAAACCCTTGCTTCCAGTGAAGGCCTGGTCCTCTCTCCAGCCTGAGTCCCAGCTTTGCCTATTTGGCTCCATTCTTCCACATCCCCTTTCAACCTGACAGACAAATATCTCTATTGGTCTTTGGCTGGCTATTCCTCAGATACCACACTCTATTGTTTTTGGTACTATAAGAAAACACCCAAGGATGAGTATAATAGACTCCATCCATGGGAATACTTTTCAAGAACCACCATAGGTGCCTGTAGTCACAGAAGGTACCAGACCCATATATACTCTTCTTTCTACACACTTATAAATACTACAAAGTTTAATTTATAAATGAAACACAGTAAGACATAGCTGACAATATTCATAATAAAGTAGGAAAATTGTAAAAATTTATTATAAGACTATCACCATCATTACTCTAACCCTCTGTGGTTATTATTAAACAAGAGTTACTAGAACATAGTGCTGAGATATCATGACAGTCCATCTGAAAACCAAGAAGGCTACTATTTGGCCAGTGGACTGGCAGCATATACTGCATGGACACACTAGACAGAGGAATGACTCATGGATCAGGCACATGGAATAAGAGAGGCTGGGCTTCTACCATACTGAAAATGTTAATGCTAACCCTGCACTTAATTTGGAGAGATTTTTCATTAATTTTTCTTTGGACCACAATTGATCACAGGTAGCTAAAACTTTTTTAAAATCAAAACTTTAGATAATGGGGAGCTTCTGTAATTTATAAAGAATGTCAATTATTTCTTATACTTCTAGAAAACTGGAAGTAAAAAATCAGGGAGCCAGAACCTGGCAACGTTCTTTGTGCTATGTTCTCTACAAAAGATAAACACTGTTTCAACATCTGGTGGAGGCAAAAAAGATAAGAGAAAAAGGGGGCACCTCCTCGTATTTTATAGTGCCTTCACACCTACTCATGAGGACACAGTTCCAAGCCCAATGGCACTCAAATTCCAACATGAGGGTTTGTGTTTGGTTAAGGATTTTGGTATATTGGTTGGTTGGTTGGTTGGTTGGTTGGTTGGTTGGTTGGTTGGTTGGTGAGTTGTTTCTTGGGTTGTTTGCTTCTTTGGTGGGTGAGTGGGTGGGTTGGTAGGTTGATTGGTTAGTTGGTGGGTTGGCTGATTGGTTGGTTGGTTGGTGGTTTGGTCTGTTGGTTGATGAATTAGTTTGTTGGTGGGTAAGTGAGTAGGTTAGTGGTGAGTTCGTTTGTTGGTTAATATTTGTTGGTTGGTGGATTGTTTGGTTGATTGATGGATGGGCTAGTTGGTTGGTTGGTGGGTGGGTGGATTAGTTTGGTTGGTGGGGGGGTTGCCAGTAGATTGGTTCATTGGTTGGTGGATTGGTTAGTTGATTGGTGGATGAGTTAGTTGGTTGGTGGGTAGGTGAATTGGTGGTGGGTTGGTTTATTGGTTGGCGGGTTGATTGGTTAGTTGATTGGTTAGTGGGTTGGTTGGAAACAAACATCCAAACCACAAACCAGAGAAGTTGAGCTAGAAGAAGGTAGTGACCAGGACAAGGAGTCAGTACTGTCTTTGGAATCTCATAGGCTTTACCATCCCTGCCCCTAATCTGGGTATCCAGGATTGCTGTAGGGTAGCCCCTAAGCACTAAACAATGTCTCCTATCTGGTGAGGAAGGATTATGCCTCTCATTCCAAGCTATAGGTTAGAAAAGACCCTAGTGGGTACCAAAATCCAGTAACTCAGGATCCTATGTTATTTTTATTTTGCCTTTTAAATGTTTATTTACTATTCATATATACATATAGTTATGTTTCCCTCCATGGCTATTATTTCTTTATCCCTCCCATCACTTTTCCTTTCCAACTTTATATACTCACTCTCATTTCTTTTTAATACCCACTGAGTCCATTTAGTGGTGTTTGTAGGTATATGGGTATAGAACCATATATTTGGGGCATGAGCTGTCTCTGAGGGTTGTCATCCTTGAAAAAAACTGAATATGACCACTCAGACAATCATAAGTTGCTTATAGCTGCTTCATGCGTCTCATCTATGCTGGGATTTTGGCTGGCTTGATCTTGTGAAGATCTTGTGCATGCAGTCACAGCCTTCATGAGTTTATGTGCACAACTGTGCTGTCATATCCAGAAAATGCTGTTTTGCTATGGGAATATATTTCTTCTGGCTCTTAAAAGTTTCCCACCATCCCTTCCTGGGTGATCCCTAAGCCTTTTGGGCAGGGAGAATGATATAGATGTCCGATTTAGAACTGAGCACTCTACATTCTCTTATTCTCTACATGTGATCAGTTGTGGGTCTCTTTATTAATTGTCATCTACTATTAAAAAGACTTTATCTGATGAGGAATGAGTGATGCACACTAATCTATGGTTATAAAGATAAGAACTCAAGGGTAAGTTTATTACTATGTCCATTTAGACGAATAATAAAAACCAATTTTAGACTGGATTTAAGGACCATATCGAAGATGAAACCCATGCCTGGTATCATTAACTGGGTCAAAAGTCCTTAGCTGGCAAAGTTACTTCTTCATAGTCTCTGAGACCCAGGCTTAAGTTCAGCTTCAGAGCTTTCCATCAAGGCTTGGAGCTGGAAAAGCAGATAATAGAAAACAAGAAATACTGACAGAAACCTAAACATGGTAATACACACCTCTAACCCCAGCATTCAGCTAGCCCAAGCAGGAGGATCAAGAGTTTGTAGCCAAGCTGGAGAGGTGGCTCAGTTGGTAAAGTAAGTGCCATAAAACTGTGAGGACCTGGGTTCAGATCCCCAGAACCCAAGTAAAAAGCTGGGCACAGTGACACATGACTGTATTACTAACATTAGGAGAGGGGCTGTGGAAACTGGTAGATCCCTGAAGTTCATTCCAGCCAGCCTTGTCCAGTAGATAAACTTCAGGTTTAGTGAGAGACAAGTTCTCAAATAAATAAATAAATGTAGCGAGTGATCTGCTCTCTACCTCTGCCTTCTACATGTGTACATACATGTTCATAAACAGCCACACAGACATACATGTGAGAACACCCACATTAACAATTACAAACAACATATACTATATATACACCTCACAATACAACACACACACACTTGCCCAGAGAGAGAGAGTTCAAGGTCTACTAGTCTGCATAATGAATTCCAGACCAGTGTGGGAGCCTGTCAAAGAAGAAAAACGGAAAGAAAAGCGGTGAGAGGACAGAATAGTCCCTTGAGTGACATTTCCCCTCCACAGCACCCCTGGTGCAGGCCTATGCTTGGTTGTTTGATTTATTTTGGGATGGAATTTTTTACAGCCAGAATTAAATATGAGTTTGATGAGAACCATGAGCTTCAAAGAAGCTGTGTGGCCTCTAGAGCATGCTGCTTTCTTTCTGCCCGACTTTGAGACACTTGCCATAAAAGACTCTATAAAAATAAATTGAGCGAAGTCCAATCCCAATAAAAGTCTCAGCAGAGACTGAAAACCATTTTACTTAAAGAGCAGAAGAACATGCACTTGCTTCGTCACAAATGCCCCGTCCCCGAGCCTGGCAGATGGCAGAAACTCCACACATTTAAATGATTGTTCCCTTAGGTGGCTGCTAATCCATCTACAACAATGTTGTGCCCATTGCTCTGCAAGTGACACCTTGAGGAAAGTCTGTAGGCTTTACCTGGAGATAGCTGCTAAGTTGGCATGAGGGCCTGCCACAAACTCTTGTACATACACACTCGTTCTGCTAATTCACTATAAAATAATGGTGTGGCAGAACA